TTCTTGGCAAGTCGCAAGGAGGTCATTTAAGAGTTAAATTTGTTCCTGTGGGGGGGCAACACAATGACTGTGCGCTGTTTAATCTCTCAAAGTAGGGCTGAAGTAGATCTTAAGGGGTGCAAAAAAAGGCTTCTGAGGCTTTCTGAATGGGGAATGAATTTGCCTAGCCTAGTGTTCTGGGTAATATCTGCTGATGTATATTTTGGAAGTGCGGTATGGCAAAAAAAGGCTGAGATGTTTATATTTGGGGGAGGGTGGTTGATTAACATTTAAAAGCGATTTGTTTTTGAAAGAATGTACAGCAAAAAGAGCTTTCTTGGAGGCTGATGTTAGGCTCCAGAATGAAGGAAATACAGACTATCACAAACCTTTCCACCATCAGTTGCAAGAGCAAGGCATGTGCCTACTGTTATACCTTCAGTAGTATAAACTTAGACCAGCATTTGCATGTATACATAAACAGGTCAAAACAACAAACATCTTTCTTAAAATGTTTCATAGCTTTGCACAATCTCCCAGGGGAGTTAATGAGAGAAACAATGACCTGCACATGACAGATGTTAGGTATGGTTTCATTTATCTCTGGAAAGAACACAGACACTATGATGATAAGAGTTTTGTAAGAACCCACAAGGAATCCTTTTAGGTATTCAAATGAACGCATCTAGGGCATTAATGCTTGTCAATCAGCTAACATTGTTTTTAAATGCATGTAATTATATTACATCAGAATTACTTGTTTGTGCAGTTGTTTTTATTTTCGTCCATCTAGTACAATAGTCTTTTGTGTGTCTGAAGAAAAATATGCACAGTTTAATTGAAACACGTCATAAGTGATCATCTCTACGCGTTAGTATATCAGAGATTTATTTTGCATCCAATTAAAAGGTTTAGTCACAAAAAGTGTAGACAAGAGTTGGATTTTGTGTAAGGAGGTGAAACTTCAAGCCCATTTAGTCGCACAGAAGAGACTGAATGCTGACAGATCATCATCTTAACCTTTCTGCATTTCTAATAGTTTCTTTTTAGTTTCATTCTCAGTATTACTCTGAGGCATATCAAGTTGTGTTCAATTCTTATATAATAAAGGGCTTAGTCTGTCTGTCTGTTCATAATGCTCTTGGAGCTCTTGGTTAGTGAAACAACCAATCAGAGTATGGCGCGCTGCCATAATGGGGGGGATGGAGAAAGGGGGGCAAGGCCAGTGACGCTGGTGACAGCATGGGGTGCTGACAGAAGGGGATGGAAGGGACGGCAGGAAATCTCCCCCCCCCCCCCCCCCCCCCCCCCCCCCCATTTTTAGAAGAAAAATGCGCTGTGGCCTCCTTCCCCCCCTGCCTCTCCCCGCCTTCCCCGCAGTCATTCTTGATGGGCATTTTGCTAGTTTCTATATATTTATATACTGGTGTACGAACATAGTCCCTGATCCAAAAAGGGACTTGCTCCTTCTTCTGTTCCACTCTGTGTGGAGTAATGAACACTTTATCAGACCACGTAATAGGATTAAGAGCAAGCATAACTGACTAGCCTACCAGACTAGCCTACCATTAAGGCTATGCACCAGGGTGAGCGAAATCCTGAATTTTGCTTTGAGGTGATTTTAATGTCCTTGATTAAACTTACATGGCACAGAGCTGAGTATATTTAATATGTGAATGGGGCACTGCATTAGCCTAGCTACACTGCTTCTTGTATCCAAGATAGAGACATCAGAGCTAGATTTAATTGAACTGTGTGGCATTTTTCATTGCATCACATACATAATCCTCCTGTTAAAATATATAAACAGTACTTGGAGCAGGGACTCCTTTTTCCCCCGGGTGAGTACTCAAACCATTAGACTTCTGAGTGATTTGAGCACTTGTGTTCTTTCTGACCCAGACTCTTTGATTTTTCTGTGCAAAGTAGAACAGCTTCAACCAGACAGATTGAGAATGTGCCATCTCTTATCACACCACAGAATAATTTATGGACTGGTGATCAGGAGGAGAGAGATGTGGGTTTGAATTTCCTCAGAAAGAGGAGAGATCTGCAACTGAGTCTCTCAAACTCTGAGTAAATCCTTTAGTCACTAATCTGTTGGATAAAAGAGAGGGCCCAACCTCTTCTGTCTGTCTTTAAAAAAGAAAACAGCAGCAGTAGCATTTTGTATAATATAATCAGATTGGTATCTTGACAGAGCAAGGCTTGGAGGGGTAGGGGGAGGTAGAGGAACACCTTGTCTGGATATTGATGAGGCAAAAACATGACAGACATTGAGCTGCACAGTAGGGCTGTGCGAAGCTGCGGTCACTGATTTGATTCAGTGGAGATTTGGCCCGATTTGGCGGCCAAATCTCCAAATCCAAATCAAATCAGGAGACCCTTTAATCTCTTCAAATTGAATTTTCATATCGATTCAGAGAGATTGATGATTTGGACGTAGACGTAACTTTTAAATGTTTTTTCTACATACCTCAAGGTACCAGGTGGCTCATGAACATTGAGATGGTAGGGTGGATGGAGCGTCCCACGGGAGCATGAGGGAGGTCCCCAGTGCACTCGGAGGAGGACCCAGAAGTGGACCAGAATCACTTCTGGTCCATTTCTGGGTCCACTGCAGAGCATGTGGGGGCCCCCTTTCTGCCCCCCGGCTCAGTGACTGGTACCTCCTGGGTCTGGGGGGGCACCCAGAGCCCCCCCCCGTGGCTGATCACCAAGCCAAGGCAGGGGGTCCCTGTGAGCTGAGCGGTGGACCCAGAAGTGGACTGGAAGTACTTCCAGTCCGCATCCGGGTCCGCCGCCAAGCATGCGGGGGTGGGATGGGGCTGCACTTCTGTGGGACGCTCCATCCACCCTACCATCGCAGCATTCATGAACTGTGCCTGGTACCTCGAGGTATGTAGAAAAAACATTTAAAGCTGTGTCTGTGGCCAAATCGCTGATTCTCTGAATCAGCATTGAATCTTCAGATTCGGATTTGGCCGAATCGAATCTGAACAGTGACCCGAATCAACAAATCGAATCATTTTCCCCTGAATCAAGCTGAATCCGAATCAAATATGGCCTGCTTCACACACCCCTACTGCACAGCCTTGTGAAAACTGAGGCGCTTCCATCCCTGTCCAAAACAGAATGTTAGGCATTAGGAGAACTTCAGTGTTGAAAATTTTGGTGCCTGCAGCTCAGGCAGTGGTGAAACAGGGGTTTTGAACAATGCAATTTTGGACTTGGGGGCCTAAATTATGTTTGATTTCTTCTTCAGGCACCCAAGTCCCTTTATTCAGTCTGGGTCAGAGGGTCCCCCTGCTAGCAGGGAAAAAGTAAAACAACAGATTACTCTGTAGCTGTTAAAAATGTTTAGAGACAAAAATATTCTATTATGTTCTACAATAATGGTTTTCAAACTGTGTTCTGCAGAACCTTGGGGTTCTTCAGTAGTTCATCAGGGATTCCTCAAAGAGACTAGGGGCATGAGTAGGCTGGGAGGTGATGCGCCACCATTGCCAGGCCAGGTCACGTGGCTCCACATCAATCTTTAGGATGGGGATGGGGTAGGGGTTCTGTGACAGAAGTGATATGAAAGGGTTCCATGAATTTAGGAGATTTGAAAAACAGTGTTCTAGAATGTAAACAAAATGTTTCTTTATATATAATCTTTGAGTATCTGAGCAATCGTTTAAAAACACATAAGCGGGGAGGGTTGGGTTGCGTTAGTTTTTTGGTTTTTCTCTTATTGGTTATTCTACAACTGCCTGTCCCTTTGCATAAGTGGGTATTTATATTCAAAATTGTCATTGCTGACTGTTGTAATTTAAAGGTGGCATGAAGGTAGCTGCTGAATCAACCAATTCTAGCAGATAAAGATGTGCTCTTAATATGTCTGCCAACTATAGTATTTATCAAGGTTCCCTTTTTTGTTTTGAAAGGAGATTTACTGTATTAAACCAAAATTGTTACTCCTTTCCAGTCACCAATACAAATGAGGGAAAGACAAGGTTCATCCTGCTATGCCAAGTTCTGTTGCAGTTTCCCCTGTGGCCCAGCTTGTGGTCTTCTTGCCCCCTGATGTCTGTGTCCTTCCACACCCCTCCCCCCCAGCTGCTTGTGGGATGACTCTGGCCCTGGCCCCAACATCTGGTCCGGCAGTAGTGGCAGCTGGGGCTCTGGCTTTGGGCCTGTCAGTGTCAGAGCTGAAGCTGCAGTAGCTCCTCTGCCACTGCGCAGTTTGTGCCACAGTTCTGCCTTGCACCATGTTGTCTTCTCCATACACCTGCTCCCCCCTTGCACCATACATCCTCACTTGCACCCTTCATGGTCTCCCCCTTGCCTGCCCGCACTTCCCCCTACCCTCAGGAGCCAGAGCCACAGAAGCTGCCTGTCGAGGGCAGTACTCAAATCTAAGATGAGTGGGGTTTTTTCCCAATGTTGAGTGGAGAAAAAAACCTCATCTTGAACTTGAGTAAATGTGGCAAGTTAAAAAAATAGGATAGTTTTTAGCTTTGCCCCATACCTGTAGGTTCTACCACATTCTTCTGTCCTACCTCATTTTGATGGTTTTGGGTGTCCTGGTAGGCTCAGCTAGACTTTTTGGAATTGGCTCCTTTCTTGACAGGGGAAATACTCAAGTGTTGTCACTCTACCCAGTATACCACTCTCTTTGCAGTAGGCAGTAGATCTAGATCATTTGGTTCTCTGTTATTATGTGCTCTGATAAGCAATATTAAAATTAAAATTTTAATAATTGGCCATATGAGCCAATTTGCATTGATTATTCTTTCTTTATATTAGCAGATGGACCATACTTACAAATCATAGAACAGCCTAAACAGGTAAGAGGAACACTGCATTTTCAAAATCTTTTGAGTAACTATTTCAGCATACTCTGGTCTGATAGAAGTCATAATATGAGATGAAAATATACTGAATAATGTATTTCATTTTAAGTTATTTGAACTAATAACACATGCAGTTCATTATTAGGAAATTTTTCTCACTCTTGTACGAAATCTGTTTCCTGTTTTGTTTTGTTCTCATCTCTAGACCTCTATTTAGAAGCTCTCATCTTAATTAAAAAAACAAACAAACGCTGGGATCTATTTTAAATGTATTGTACTAGACCTAGAATTCACATCTACTTAGAAATGAGCCTTAAAAGATATGATATGTTTCTGACAATAGGATATATTCATAAGTGGATGGATAAAATATTAATAGGAAATTTGTTGTTTTTCACATTTCTTGTTAAAATGAAATTTAAAAATAATAGCTTCTCCTCACACTCCTTTCAAAACCCTCACCGAAATTTTAACTTATGACCTCTAGTCTTGGTATAAGGCACTTGAGGTATTTTTGAACCATGAAGTATTTTCTTTTGTCAGACTCTTGGCAACATTTGACTAAATCAGTGGTGTTCAACCTGGGTCCATGGACTATGTCTAAGGGGTTCATGAAAGATTACTATAATCAATCAAAAGTATGTGAATACCCATGCTTACAAGTCAAAAGGGTCCACACTTACATTTGAAATTTTGTAGGGATCTGCAGATGAAAAAAGGTTGAAAACCACTGGACTCTAGACCAGAATTAAATTAAATCAAACTTTAAATGTAATTTTTGTGCAAGTATGCAACTCTGTTAACATGGATTTCATCTTTTGGCTCTACTTGGTGAAGGTAAAGTTTGTGGGAGATGCTGGGGATGAAAACCACCTCCCAACCCAGGAGAAGGGTGCTGTGTTTTATTGCAGTTCTCCCTATGGCCAAGTGTTGTGTTTGTGGTCTTCTTGTTAGCACTACAAAGATTAGCACATGGGTCAAGTCAGAAAATTCATATAAGCGTGTGGGTTCAGTGAGTGATGGCAGTGGGAAAGAACAGGCTGTCTGGTCAGTTGCATAGATCCAGTGGCCCTCACACAAGTGATGAAGAGTTGAATTGATTTTAATACTATCTACTGGTTGTGGTGTGGCTAGAGCTATCCCTGTACTCTGGCCCAAATTTCAGGAGTGAATTTTACAAAAAATGAAGCACTTCACTTAACTAAAGCCCAGTTAGTCACTCTGCTTTAATGCATTGAAGTGAATTTCACGTTAAAGGTCAGATCCTGTTCTACCACCTAGGGTGCATCCAGACATGTGTGGACATTTGGTTCCTCGGGAACAACTAGCAGTGGTGCACCTTGTGCTGCTGCTAGTTGTCCGTGGGGAACTCCTGTGCCACGTGTGCTCTGGCACGTGGCAATTCACCCCGTGTGGGGTAGAGAAGGTTGGGGCCAGTACTGGGCTGGCCCCAGCAACCTTACCTGGGGTCCTGGGAGCCTCCCAGAGCTGCAGCACTGGTGAGCCTGCCGTATGGAGGCTGGCCAGCAGCTGAGTGTGGCTCTGGCTTCAGGCGCTGCATGCAGCACTCTGCTTTTTTTCCCACAGGTTTTTTTGATCCCTGGATAGGATATCCAAGGGTCAAAAAAACCCTCTGCACTGCTCTCTTACTGCACATTCAGATGTTCTCCACGTTGCATGTGGTTCATAGATTCATAGATGTTAGGGTCGGAAGGGACCTCAATAGATTTCATAGATTTCATAGACATTAGGGCTGGAAGGGACTTCAGAAGATCATCGAGTCCAGCCTTCTGCCCAAAGGGCAGGAAGTCAGCTGGGGTCATAGGATCCCAGCAAGATAAGCATCCAGTTTGCTCTTGAAGGTGTTCAATGTAGGCGCTTAAACCACCTCCGGTGGCAGGCTGTTCCAGATCTTGGGGGCTCGGACAGTAAAGAAATTCTTCCTTATGTCCAGCCTGAAACAGTCTTGTAGTAGTTTATGACCGTTCGACCTAGTCGTCATCCCTTGGGGCGCTCTGGTGA